AGGAAGGGTAATTACAAAAATCTGTCCAGCACGCACAGGGTAAATAAGCCACTGTAGTTTATCTCCCTTGCTGTGATTGTGTGAACTGGCCCGGAGAGTCAAAAGGTCTTGCTGAATAAAGTGAGCTCGGGTGGGCAGGGAAAGGAAGGATTCCCCAAAGACTGGATGAAGGGACTTTCCATGACCATAACCTTCCTCTCATGAAAGGCAACCCATTAACTCAGTTCACATGATCAAAACAAGCCACCATACTTGCCAGGGATCATTTCCCTATTTATCCACCCAGGTGCATCCTGCATTGCATGGTTCGTTTGGGTGGAAACAAACTTTAAATAGCCATGGGTTGTTACCAGACTATTTGAGGGTTGTTTTCCCTTCAGATAAGCCACACCGTCCAAGTTTAGGCAACACAATAAACTGTGCCTAGTCAGTTAATTAGGGAAATGGCACTCAGCACTTGCTGGCATTAAAACTAGCTACTATGACACAAATAAACCATTATAATTTAAATAAAGCATGGTTGTTTGCTCAAGAGAACTGGCTCTCTTTTAATTTAAATACACTGGTGTCACTCTGCTTCTTCTTACATAAAAGAAGATGATATGTTGTTTCACATGAATGCTTTATACTGACAAATTTTTAATAACTTTAAGAGCAGCAAACATAAACTAATATAATAATTTAGCTATAATAAAATCTGTACATGAATTATTACATAGTTTACAAATCATATTGCTTCAACTCAACCATGCAACCTATCTTATAATTCCTTTTCAAATAATGAAATACTTTGTTAATTCATTAAGTTTTCCCAAATGATGAATTATAAATGTTAATTTTAACTGTCTGATAATGAGCTATCATTCAATTTTCCCAGTTTAACTGAAGGGACTTATTTCCTACATCAAGCTTTCCGCTGCTATCAACAAATTGAATCATTAATTTAGTATTTAGTGTTTCACATCCTTCAAGCTATCAGTTTGACAACACTATTGATTTACTGAAGGAGAAAAGAGATTACCCAAAGAAAGTGATTGCAAGCCGTCAGGACAAACTTGTCATCTGGCCCAGTTTTGACAGAGTGTTAAGCTAAGTCTTCATTAGGTGCAATGGTAGC